CTTTTTACACAGCTGCTTATTGCTAAACAGTGCCTTGTCCAGAAGGGGACAATCTGTGTCTCTAATTGCTGTCACTGAAGCTGAGATTCATTATGTGACTTTCCCATTAAAATGTGAGCATTAATTTGTATAATGAAATATCACCCACTGCAGTGTTCATTAGCCATGCCCTACTGTATACTGCACATTGTTAGCTACCTAGAAACTGTAGTTAATTTCACTAATGGATATTTCCCTACTTAGTGTTTGGTAGGAAATTTATACTGTAACATTACCTCTTAAACTTTTAAGGAAATTTAAATTCAATCAATTATTTTCAACAAAAGTTTGGGACGTCATTAAGACAGGAGAAAAAGCATTCCTGTACAATGTTAAGGATGGGAAATCTGGAGAAATCTACAGAAATGAAAAGTCCTTTTAGTTCTTCTTAGAAATGTAAGAATAAAGGATGTTCAATACCAAAATTGTCTTCTCTTGGAGCACACATACCCATTTTCCTTAATTATTCATGTTGCTCATCCCACTACAAGAGCCTTCAGAGAATGGCAACAGGCAGTCTTTTTTTAGGAAGAAAATGTGAATTGAATTCATTTAAAACTGCACCATTTTTACTGTATTTTATCAGTTAATCTCATCAGGTTTTGAAATTGGCTAGTCATATTTCCAAGGGAAACTACAGTTAACACTGTAAATATAATACATGTAATACTTGTAAAATGTGTATCACCCATATCATAATATACCTTCAGATAACGGACACAACCTTGCTAAACTGCTTCTTTCTACCCATATCTGTCTTAAGTTTCTTCAGTTTAGCACAATCCAAACCATTTTCAGGGCTATACTTTGCTCATGCACGTTATTCTGTTTTCATCATACAAGGGATTTAACTGTGCCAGTGATACAGGAAATATAGCTAAGCACACAAACCCAAACTGGTCCACATCTGCAGCAGTTTCTGAATGCTAATGTGAAGTGCAAGAGGTGCTAGAGCCCCTATGTAGTATGTTGCTTGCCAAACATACTTTTATGCTATTACAGAACATAGCAAATTTTAATTATTTACATTTAACTGTTTCTATGATGTCCAAAGTTCCAGGCATGTAACATAAAAATAACACATCTAATTGGTTTTGGTGGGAACTGAGAATGCTCAAGAACATACAGAAGATACTCAGCTCCTTGAATGACGGAACCCTACATTGCTGCCTGCAGAGGGGAAAAACGCAAAGTCCAGATATGCATATTATTGGTCTGAGATATTTTATATAAGAAAGTTTTCCTTCTCTCAGTCTAAGCACCTCTGAGCTGTCTGTGTTATAACATTCACAGCTCTATTACCATTATTTTATAACCAGGAAGCTGAGTCACAAAGTGGCGAGTCCACCCATTTTACTGTGAGTTACAACCTGAATCCAGTTTTTTCTTTTCCTAGACAGATATCCTAACCACTGGACCCTCATGCCTTTTCAAACACCATCACAGACACTGTTCTGAAATTATTAAAAGAAGAATGACACTATTCTCTGGCTGGTTCGAAACAGAATACAAAAGATATTCAGTACTGGAGAATTGTATAAGTATGGGGTCATAACTAAACAACTAAAATCACCAAAGCATTCAATTGTCTTTCCTAAAATATTCTATTTCATTAATGTGATATACTTTGATTTTTTGCATTCTCTCTCTCTTTTTTGTTTTTGTTTTTCATAAAATATTTTTGGGATACTGTTATTCTTGCTGGGTTCCGAAAAAAATAGCAGATCTATTTATGAATTTATTTTTCTTCATGCTTTGCAAAAGTCCATATTCACTATAATTTTAGACATAAGGTCAAATTTTTACTTTGATCGGTATAGCTTCAGTGTTTTAACAAAATCTCTTCCCAATTTCACATGGGGCACATACAAACCTTCCCTGTTTCTGTCTCTTTTCACACTGAGTTTTTGTGAGTTGAAGTAGGTAGTTTTGAAGAAGCAGGACAACACAGCCCATCTCTATCCCCTAGTCAATATAAACAAGTAATTTAGGAGGGTTATGGGGTATTCTTTCTTTCCTTTCTAAGCCATGAGGCTCTAGAAGATTTTGCCCTGAGAGTTCTTCCTCTCTTCTGTCATGGATGTGCTAAGAAACTAACCCTTCAACTGTTTTGAGAGCAAGAAAGAGGATAAACTCTGATTTTACATAATTATGCCCTTTTCTTTTCGTACGGCAACAAGCAGACATCATATCTTATTCTCATCCCCTTAAAGCTGTTCAAGGGTGAATATCATTGCACTAGAAAATAAGAAGAAACCTCTACAGTGTTGGCACTCCAATGAGTTTTTGGTATTTTGTTGTTGTTACTGTTTTGTTTTGAGAAGCTTCTGTGATAGCAAACTACACAGACACTGAGCCCCTGTGTTGAGAAGGTTGCAACCATAAATATCCAAAGGAAAAAAATAAGCAACCCAAGTCACTAGCTAATTCTTTTAAAACAGAGCATAGCTTCCTCCTCTTGTGAAGGATTAAACAGCTTCTCTAGCTTTTTTGGGCCAATTGCCACAGAAGCACCTCCTGGCTGGATCAGACTTTGGGTCTTGTGTTGGCATGCGTACCAAACCAACCTACTCATGTGCCTCCAAATACACAGATGTTCAAAGGAACCTGACTTCTGCTGAACTGCTTGAGCTCATCTCTAAAAAACAGGTGCTGTGAGAACAAGAACAGTAATTGAATTAATGTAGTGGAGAAACACAGTAAAGTGTTTTTTATCAGTCAGTTATATGATCCAGGCATATAATAAAGACAGAGTGTGACATAAAAAGCAGGAAACTGTCCTTGTTAAGTATGAGCTAACCAATATTTATTTAATAACTGGTATCTATTACATCATTTCCATTTACTGTAGAGCAACTTAATTTTTATTAAACAACTCTAGTAATTTGCCAATTTACATTTTTATAATATTTATTACGATTATTTCCAATATGTAAAACACTGTTCCATTTAAACATACTCTTGTCATTATTTACAAATACTTTGTTCTCAACCTAATGGAAATTGATCTTTATCTATTTTAATATTATAACGCCTTTTAAATGTATTGCAAATGTTATTTCAATAATCTATGATTGTTTTTTTGTTTGGTTTTTTTTTGTCTGTATTACTTCATACATGCTTTAGTTCTTGTTTTAATTTTGTTTAGTAACTTTTAATATACAATTTTTATGGAATATTTCCATTTCAATTAATTTACTTTCCATTAGTTCTAAGCCACAAATACCAAATGCGCAATCATTGACATCTTTATAACAACAAATAAATGACCGCTATATAATAAAGCAAAAGGAGAGATGGGTATACTCAGGTTATTTTAAAGAATTTTCCTTCACTTCTCCACTAGCAAAAATGTCAAATTGTTTAAACCTCATAGTTACAGGATTATTTCCCAATAAAATAACTACAATGGTTTGTTTTTACTACATTAGAGAGCAAACACATAGGGTTTGCAGTTTTATTTTTCCTATATCCTTTATATTTCATTTTTCCTACATTCACTAGTCCAAGATAAGGAAAAGAATATTCCTGCCCTAAGCAGCTTGCAATCCAGACATACTACTTTGTGGGCCAGGTTTTAAAATTCAGATCAAACTGTTGTTGTTAATTCCTATTCCACAGTCCAAAGAAATAAAGAAAAAAAATACAATGAAGAAACTTTCCCATCTCATCACTGATTTATTTATTTATTTTTTCTTTAAGCAAATTTCAGCCTTCATTTTCAAGATTTCAAAATCAGGCCTTACATTCTCAAACCCAATATTAAACATTACACCTGTGCAAGAACACAGAAGTGTGATTGCCAATTTTGGGAAGGGAGGCAAATACTGCTTATCTGCTACCTCAGTGAAATAAAAAAATATGGTGACATTTTTCATGCAAGAGGTACAAATGAAAATTATTTCTACATGCATTTCGTTTTATCTGTCAATTACAAAAATAGCAGTAACATTCTGAAATTCGTTTAAAATATCTTAAAAAGAAAATGAATGACTCCACAACTGCACTGCCCACTGCACCTGTTTACAAAACCAAGTGTCCTAAATCTCCAGCTTTGCACACTCTCTCAGAGCACACTGCAATACCTAAGACTTGGAAGAAAACAATATCAGGTTGACCATGGACAGAATCTCTAGTGACATCAGCAGGACCTGAGGATGTCAACATTGTAAGTCAGATCCTAACTATGGAGATAGTAAGCCTTCCTAAATATATGCTGTGTCTCTGTGTGAACTCTACTGTGCACATATACACTTTTAAGCAAACATGGTATTATAATTTAAATGGAATGGTTACGTTTTTTTAGTATCTAGAGCAGTGACATACAAAAATAAAGAATCTAGATCAGTAGTAAGTCTCTGTAGGGTAGAAAGACTGGTTTTCATATTAAAATAAAATGTGGCAAGATTTCCCATGCTGCAAAAACATGGTAAGTATTACTATGTCCAAGTAGTACGTTGGGTTAGTTCTAGCACAAAACAAAACAAAAGCAAGCAAACAAACAAACAAACAAAAAAAACACAGATCCATAAATTCATATGAACAGTGAGAGGTTACAAATGAGCACGTTAAATTGAACAAAAATAGTAACTGAGCAAAACATACAGAATCCCTAAGTAGATGCTACAGAAGGCCTTTGAAGCAGTGAGTATAACTAAGTGTGAAACCAATAGGCTTATGCCTATTGAAGGACAAGGGTAATTGAAGGAAACAGTGATGAAGTGGGGAAGGAGACAGAAATAACCTCAACTGGGAAAAGATGATTCTAATAAAGTGGTCTTTATCCAACAACACATTCCTTGTGCTTTTATTTAAGACTGTCATATATCTTTCTCAAAAGACTCTCCAACTAACGAGTCCAAATCTACACTGGGAATTAAGGCTTCTAGCCACATATTATGTTAACCCCCATACACACATCACTTGTGTCGACAGTGCTCCGCTCCTCTTGTTCCTCTCACCTGTATGTATTCTCAAGTGGACCTTTAAGTGATGTGATGTTCTGAAAGTTTTTCCACAATATGGGCAGTCTTTCATGGCAGAACCAAGGCTCCTGTCTCTCAGTAAAGCTGGCTGTTGAACTCCTACAGATCTCCCAGCTTCTTCTCCAATGTCTGCAACACAGAAATGTTCTCACATCACTTCAGCACATGTCAGAAGTTGTTCTCTCTAAAACTGCTAACAAAACACAACGTTAAACATGTCAATACTACACCTGTCTATTTCATTCGTTAAATCTGACAGAATGCTGACAATTCATGTATTTTCTTGTTATTCTCTTAAATTATTTCATCTTTCCTATCATCATTTTAAGCAGCATATGGTACCTTTATATTGAACTGAATTATACAAGAAAAGAAACAGCTGTGTCAGCAGCTGGTTTGATTTCTTCTTTTGCTTAGTTCCTATTAATTTTTTCCAAAAAGTTTTGAATTGTTGTTTTGTTGAATCTATTTCATTATAAGTATTGTAAAAATGTGCATGTTTTTAGAGAGAAAAAGGTTGTATCAGCATGTAAAAACCTCCCATAAAAATCGAATCGCAGTGATGAGTCCAACAGAAGTGGTAGTGCCTACACACAAAGCTAACCAACTTTCCTCTGCAACACTTCAACATTAGAGTAATGACACCTGACCTAATATCACAGGAAAGCCAATGGAAAAATTGGTCAGATGAGGGGGGATTCCTTTGCCCTCTCACTCACAGCTACTGAGTTTTCTCCTTTGATCTTCATGGCTGCAGTTACTCTTTGCTTTGTAATACAATGGATGAGAGTCCAGGACATCTTTTCTCTCTCCTGATATAAAGAAACAGTCATTCTCAGCCACCCTGAAGAAGCTGCTATTATTCAAGCAGGCTATGGACAAAATAACTTGCAAAAGACTGATATGAATATTACAAAACATTGAGCATTTTTAAAAAGTCATTACTTAAACCACAAAAGACTCAGCTATCACCTTGTACTTACAGGGTCATATAACATCACATATAGGTATCAATTCACATTATCACCAAAGAGTATCATGGCACATGTTGAAATTCTGAAATAGATTTACGATACTGGCACACCACAGAGATACAATACACATTGACACATTACCATACCTGTGTGCAAAAGCTGAGCTACGAGGTCTGTATTGAGGTGGGGAGTAAATAGTTAAAACCTGTGTGCAAAGTCTTGACTATTTCAACCATAAACTAGTGACTGAAAATGCTCTGTCTCTACCCATTTGATACATAACTAAAGCTGTCAGGAAACACAGTGCAGTTTACACAGCATTACCTCTTAAGTGGAACTGATGGAACATAAGAAAAATTTAAACATTTCGCTCTAATAAGAACTGCTCACAGAAGAGCAGAGACCCAAATACCACATTGCTGTAAAAGGTAAAACTAACAAGAATTTCATTATTTATTATAAAATGGTTACTCTAAATAATTTCACTTAAAACTGAAAGAAGGGGGTGACCGAAAAAAGAAAAAAGGAAAAGGAAAACGAAAAGGAAAAAGTATAAATACTTATCTTAGTCACATATGTCATCAAGCTATTATTAATAATCAACAGGCAAAATCTGATTCTTGAAAATGACATTCTTTAATACTTTCTGATTGCTCTTACACTGCAGAGTTATGGCACACTATTTCGGATACAAGGCTTGTAACTGTCATTTGAATTATTCACATGTATATGAAGAAATATAATGCAGAGTTTATTTTTCCTTTCAGAATCCAAGAAAGTGTACATAGGTGCTAGTCTATAATTCCAACTTTCCTAAAGCGTTTAGACTTTGCACTTTTTTTCTCCTCAATAGTTGTATATAATCACATCCTAAACTGCTTCAGGAAAAAAAGAATTCCTGAGTGCAAAAAACCTTTATGAAGTGCAAAATACGGAATGTAGATAATAAATTGTGGGATTTTATTTTCATTTTCAATAAATACTATATGAGCATTATAGATAAGTATATAGATAAAGCTAACAAGCCACTCAGGAGGAATTTACCGAATAAGTCTACTAGTTATGTTTTGCTAAATGTCACTCTAAATGATGGCCTGTTATCCATCTGCCTTTTATCTTTCTATCTAGAATATGTGTGGCCCAATAAGAAAGAATAAATTTGTAAAATAAACAGCTCACTTTGCAGATTTAAGAGTCTAATTTTCACTTTACACAAAATTGATTTTTTTCAAGGCAGCAAGATGATGGAGTTTACTCTAGCACTAATCCCTCTGAAAAAGCAAACTGAAAACAACAATGAAGCAAAGAAAGATGTGGGTGGTCTGAAGAGTTTTCTTTTAGATTTAAGTAGACATACAGTAGATAGCTTCAAAGGCTTAGCCCCAACAGGGGCCTTACCTTGAAGAATTTTTCTTCCCACAGTGAAAGCATTCCTAAGACTTTAAAGCTGGGCTGAGGGGGTTTCTTTTGAATTCCTCAGCCTACAAAGCCCACCGAAGCACTAGAGGCCATCACTACCTGAATGAACAACTTTACATCTAAGTCCTTTTATTTCCAACAATGAAAAGATACGTTCAAGGATGCCATCTGTCCCCATCAAATGCTACCTCGACTTCTTACCACGGCCCTGTTTTGGCAAATTGTACCTATTTGTCAAGGCACTTAAGTTTAAAATATGCTTAACTTTAAAACGCACTTACATCTCATCGCTGTCAAGTTTTTTATACTGACTTTCTTAAAACAACTTATGGAAAGTGAAGGGGGAAAAAATGTGAAACAGAAAGAGGTTAAGTGATTAGCAAGGAAAGAGTTATGAGGCAAACTGGTGATTATAGGTTAAGCCAAAAACAATATATGGGAAGAATGAAAAATCTTCCACTTTACCAATAATAATTTCTGCTGCACCTCGGATGTGCCCCTTTCTCCTGCTTTGTTACCCCCTTCCTAAGCACAAACTCAGTTATGTTAATGCGTGCAGAACTGTGGCAATGTTTTACAGACCAGCAGAACTAAGATTAGGCTCACCAAATCCATCTAATATATGACTTACTTAGGATTTGAGCTATGGTTTTCAGGCTGCTCAATTCTGAGGATAAAAGATCAGGAAGGAAAGAGAACAGTTACTTATCTTGCAGTCATTGTGGTCCATTGAGTTATGTGGTCTACATGATGTACACTCGATGCACATGAGATTAGGCTTCTTTTTTTTACTACCTACTTCCATTACAGGCAGGTCTATGTCCTGAATGTCTTCCTGCCCATCCCTGCCTTTCCTGATTCAAGTGCAGGAAATAACAGAACCGGGTATGAAATATTGTGTAGAGTTACAGGCTAGATGCAAAGCTTCCAAGCTTTATATCTGAATTTACTTTCACTGAGCTTTTGTTTCACTTTGCCCAAAGCAAAAGCCACATGTAGAACTTCAAAAAGCAACATTCAGTTCTAAATAAGAAACCTGTCTTTGTGTCAGAGCAAGGAGAAGGCCACATCTGTGAGACCTTCCACACACAGCCAGCGGACACGCAGATACACCTCCTCATCATGGTGCGCAGCTATGAAGCAGCTTCTAGGGGTGATGTGCTGGGACACCTCTTGTGTACCATGCCTTGGGTGATCATAAAGTCCCAATTTGTTCTGCAGCCACTTGTGTAGCCAGCTGTAAGTGCTCAACTCAAGCTGCGCTCAGTTTGCTGTGGAACTTGTCTCTGGCACAATGGGGATTCACCGGAGCAGCCTTGAACTGTTCCACAGTGAAAAGGGACAGGGGACAAGCTCGTGGCCAGAAGCGCACACAGAGGCAGGTACTTCACACCAACCCTAGCACAGCCATCCACCACCTGCACACCGTGCCTTGAACAAAGAGCAAAAACATCTAGGCTTGGCTGAATGCTCTTCACAGCTTACAGGTGGTGACGATCCCCTATGAAGGACTCAGATGCAACAGCCAGTGGCTTTGTCTTCAAGAGCTACTGTCCTGTAGCATTCACTTAGTGACAGCCATGGGACGAGTACAAGAAAAGAAACTTCACTTTAACATCCATATCAGAAGGTAGTATTTAGCTACATAGTCAAAGAGCTGATTTGGCCAAAACGTGAACGAGTCTATTTACCACACAGACTGAAATGAAAATTGAGCAAGCTGTAAGATCAGTATTTGCAGGACTAGCTGCAGGACTAGCCCTTCGTCAGACAGAAGCCCCCTCTCTGGAGAGGAAGGACAAAAAGCCAGCACTGGAGAGGAGCTCCACAAGGCTTCAGGCTGTGTCCACATCCCCTGCAGTATAGGAGATTTCCTCAGAGCCAGATAACACCAGGAAGCAGTTTTGAGCCAGGAACATTTTTACAGTAGCAGGTTAAAAGAAAATAAGTGAGAAGTACACTGATGAATCCTTTTTTTTACAGCAAGTATCTTACTAGGAATCAGAAATGATCAACTCAAACATGAGCTACTGTTACAGCTATCAGTGGCCTCAGCACAAGGACCCCACTGGGGCACAATGCCAACTTCAGTGGGTATTTCTAGAAAACAGAAGACATACATAGGTAGATGACAAGTCTGTGTATTCAGTCAGTCATATGAAGAATTTTTTGTTTGTTTGTTTTTTGAATTTCTGTATGTTTTCTGTAAGACTGGCCTACCTTTGTGGGAGGAGTTTATAAACTTGATTAGAACAGGACTGATTGTTTTGTAAAAAGAGGCATGTTTTCAGTTGGTTAGGTAATAGCACTGACTTTTGTCATATGAGCAGCAAATATTAAAAGGAGCATCTACATACATGTCCCATAAATTTTACAAGAGCATTTATTTGCTGTGTGAAAGCACAGGGATTCACAAATAGGTATTTTAATGTTCAAAGGAGCTAAATTGCAGTCCTCACACAGACTAAATTATCAGTGGAGTCAGTTGGAATTTTTCAACACAAGGATTGCCAAATTAGCCAAAAACAGGCAATCACATGGCAAAGGTAATCAACTCACAAAATAGGTAATCACACTTACAAATACATGTTTACTCTTGCACATTTTTCAGTCATTATTAAAGAATCCTTTGAAAGTGTGGACAGAAGCCTTTAAAGATGCACATAATCCCACGGTTTTGTATATTTCAGAAATTCAGAATATTTGCAGTTCTTTAAAGCTGCCTTCAAAACTTAA